CTATCCTGGAGAGAGTAATGTTAGTGAGGCATTTGTAATGAGTAGGCTTACTCTTGCTGGAAATGCAAATTGGATAGTTAGCCAGTTGTTCGAATAAGGGAATATCCATCAGATGAGAGTTAGTGAAATCTTTTTTTGTTTCTGGGTAAAGAAGGGTGGTATTAACTGGTACTGCTGTCAGTAAAGGTCTATTGCTGGATGCACAAAAGAAACAGAGGCATTAGGGTGGGTGGTGAAGGGAAGAAAGTTAGCAACATATTGAATGTATTGGCTCAAAGACATAGTTGATCTTATCTGGTCCTCTGTTTGTTTTTCCTGTAGAATAATATTATGATGAGTTAGCACAGACTTAGCTGCAAGTACAAGCTGTCAAGAGATAAGAAAGTCAGCTGTAGGGTAGCTAGAGAATGCACCTTAGTAGAACTTTCCTATTACTCCGATACTCCAGCGATCGTCCCATGGATCTCAACATGTATTAGGGAATAGTCATGGTTCCCATAGAGATACTTATTATCCTTTAGGTAGATGGGTCTTTTCTGTCCTGTTATGCCCTGATATCCCCCAGTGAATCCTAGTTCCAACCTACAGGGATTGAAATAGCGACAGCCCCCATAGGTATCAACTTCCTTGAGGCATGATGGATCTGTCGGAAAGGGAAGCAAACATATTCATTAGTTCCGTATCTGCTAGCATTTGGGTATATTATGATTTCTATGGGTTTTTGACAGCCCACTAGGGGGCAGTTTGTGGTTCAGATTATCTGATTTTTTTCCTTGAAATGTTTCCCTGACATAAAATCTCCAGAACATAGTATTAGGGAGAGTGGGGCTGGCTGAAGCGTTGCTGTTAAGCAGGGTAAAAATCGCCATGAGGATGACAGAGAAAGAAGCTTGGGGAGGGTGGAGTGGGGCATCTGTGTCCAGCAGTCTCCACCAGACCATGTGATCCGGTGTGGTTTCGGGTGTCGTTTCCTCCTCTTCCTTTTCTTTGTCTCTGACAGGGTCATGCAAGCCATCTCTTTTGTGGGCGGGGAGGTGCCGGACATTTCTGGCTGGAACCCAGATAGGCTTTGGTTGATCCTGTGGG